CAATTAAGAAATCTACTTTGCCTCTTGAGGCAATATTTTCACAACAGAATCAAATAATGTTTTTGGTTTCCAATGTATCTACAAAGGACACACACATTACTTTGGCAAGGACTCTTAAGTAGTAGCATTTGCTGTTATTCTTTCTAAAATATTTTTTAAATTTTCATATTTTATTAGCATAGGTTCTTTTCCTATTTTTTTTCTGGGAGTAAGTGGAATTTGAAATTCTTTACTTTATTCTCATCTCACAGATAGGCTGGACCAAAGGTTTTGGTAATTGGTATTGTATTTACACATGACATGTAAATATACATGGAAAATAATTTTAGGAAATTGTAGATCAATACTCTATCTGTAGGGCCCTATCTGAAAAAGTCAGCACACTCATCAGAACTCCCTTAGCCACTGCCTAATTAGTTTCCAACGTGTCTTGGTATTATAATACTGTATCCATTTAAAAAAAACCAAAACAATCAACCAAAAATACCAAAAAAACCCAAATAAACCCCCACTTTTCCTCCCCCTTGCTACTTTTCTTCCAAAAAGAAATCCAAGCAAAAAAGTCTTCCCATCTCTCTTCATGGAAACAAAGAAATCCAGAATGCTCATGTATATCTAACAAAACCTGTCTTTTGAAGATAATCTTCTTCAAATGATACTAACTTTATAAAACCTGGCTGATACAAAGCATTTTGTAGGAAAATAATCAATAAAATATAAATCCAGTAAGCCACCCAATGTTTCATGATGCAGTTCTGTACACACAGTACAATACAGCTCCCCTAACAGAGGAAAAAGGGCTCAAAACAACGTGAGCAAAACAGGTGATGTATATGAGATGCCTTTGATAGTCTGAGGTTTAGGTTCTGTTTAATCAAACAGAACATTGGAAGATTATTCCACATGCTCGTGAAGTAAGTGAACTACAGTGTGAGTTATTTTTCCAGTGAAAAGTACATATTGTAGTGGAACAGTCCATAGCATTACATACACTGAAATAGAACACCAAGATGACAACAAAAGAAAGAAACCCAAAATTGCAGCATGAGACCAAAATATCTAAGTAGAAAGTTCTCAAAATACTTTTCCTTTGGTTGCTATGCAAGCACCACTGTTTTCTAGTCTAAATACATTCAGGGAAATTCTGAAAGAGTTTATTCTTATTTTGCTTCCTCAAGATTATTTTCATAACAGGGAGAAATATTTATGCAGAAAGTAGATTACCAACACACTGAAAAAAGGTGTAACACAGAGGAGCGATCGGTCATCCGGATAGCTAAAACTTTCACTCAGGCTCCCATTCCCCTCTAACTGGATTACTGCCATACAAATCGTATTTCACTGTCAAAGCCCTTCACAACCTGTCTTTACCACCACCTTCGTCTCCCATTCACCCCAGAAATGCTGACCTGCCAATGTTAACTGTATAGAGCCCATCTACATTTCTTAAACAGTTTGGGGACTTGTTTTTTTGCTCTTTGAGAGGTATTTCCTGAAAAATTCCACAAAGCTGCCCTGGTATCATCCTTCTTTAAAATCAGTTTTGTTTTGGTTTTTTTTATCATAGTACCTCTTGAAAACTCAAGAGGAGGTGCTCAGAAAGATAACATTATTGCCAGGGCTGCTGACTAAGAATTAGCTCAATCCCAGTGTGGGTTCCCACTTCCCTTGTGCCAACACTGGTTTTCAGCTAATCCAATGGTAAGCAAATGTAGGGTACTAAATAAATCAAATAAACATAAAAACCTACCACAAACAAACACAAAACTTCCCATGTCCCTAATTAAGCAGAGGTTTTAACAACTCAAGTCACTTAACTAGCTCAGTCTGGATTCAAATTAGCATTTAAGGAATCTAAACGTTTACAAGTCCATGGGACCCGGTGAGATACATCTGTGAGAAAGAAGGGAAACGAAAATAAAAACTGATTAAAGGAATTAACTATCATGTATTGCACAGTTACATTATAGCATTAATTCATGGGAACATCAAGCATTTCCAGAGATATGATTCTTTAAAATATGTTGGAAAATATACCATGTGCTTCATAGGAAAGTTCTCTTAAACACACAGGTAAAAAAACTGGGCACAGATGACATAAATTATCTCACCTTCCCCTCCAGCCCCCAGTTTTGCCATGACATTCCCAGCTCACAAGTGTTTAGAGGAGACTTTTCAAAAAGCAGGAAATTCGACTAGGTTTCTACATCCCATCCTTTGAAGACAGTTCTTGTATTTTGGAGGAGTGGGGCAGTATATTGTCCTGATTTTGGCTGAGATAAAGTTAATTCTTAGAAGAATGGTACAATGCTGTGTTTAGTTGTTGCTAAGTAGTACTTACTCCAAGGACTTTTTGGTTTGCCATAGTCTGCCAAAGAGGACGTGCGCAAGAAGCTCAGAGAGAGTGTGGCCAGGAGAGCTGACCTGAACTGACCACAGACATATTCCATACCACAGAACATCAGTATACGAGCTGGTGGGAGCTGGCCTGGAGGATAGGCTGGGCATCAGTCAGTGGTAGTAAGCAACTGTATTGTGCATCCCTTCTTTCCCTTGGGCTTTATTCCTCTCTCTCATTACAATTATCATAATCATTAGCCTTAACAGCATTACTATTATATTTTACTTTGGTTCGATTATTGAATTGTTCTTAGCTCAACTCACAAGTTTGAATTTCTTTTGTCCCCACCCCCTGACTCTCCTCCCCATCCCCCCGGTCAAGAAAGGAGGGATTGAGCGGCTGCATGGTACTTAGTTGCCTGATGGGGTTAAACCGCGGCAGGCTGTAACTCATCTAAAGCTTCGTTTATAAATTTGCAACTAATTAGTATGTACATTTTATAATCAATATTCACAAACATTTCCGCCTGCCACAGTGAAAATAAAATTATCATTCCTCAGTCATATAACATTTATATTCATGAGCAGTAAGTAAATATTTAGATTTCAGTGTGAGGGCTAGAGGCATCTACTCTGTAACCACATGGGCTGTCCCTCAGGTGCACTCAACTTACTTTTCTGAAGCATACAAAAGCAAACACACACTGCAGTTCTGTTAATGCATGTATTTTATATACTACAGCAATACACCAGATCAGCAGACAACATTGCAAAATTAAAAGACAACGAAATACCTAACCCTCCGTGCTTCCCTTAAGCCGAGCCTTTAATTTAAAATACTCTCATCTACATAAGGCAAAAATAGCCCAAGTGACAACAAAGTCCAGGAAGCAAAATTCCACAGCTAGGAAGTGACCATTTGTGTAAGTATTTATACAGACTGAAAACTAACTGCTTTTAACTTTCTTTTTAGCTTTAACAAAGCTGAGAGAAAAATAACATTACCCACAAACTCCTGTTCATGTACTGCTAAGAAAAAAAGAATATCTAATTGAAAAACCCACAGGATTCTAGATCTAGACTTGGGGATGTTCAATTTAAAAACAATAAATATTTTTACAAAAAAATTGCATGGTTTTCAACTTGATTGCGTCTTACATAGACACCAACTATGACACCTAAAGTGATGATGAAACAGCAAGCCTGAGGACGTCAAGGAATTGTTAGAATAAACATGCATCCACTACCTTTTATAGATCCTACTTTAAATAATTGTCGATATTGAGAAAGTGAATGCGAGATGAAGTGTGTAATTTCTGAACTCCCCAGGTAGAGATTCATCTTACAAGGAACAGGAAAATAGCCACTGCTGGAACAATAGATTCACGTGTTGCACTAGCACTGGGTGGGCACAGGAACCAGTCTCAAGGACCACAGGGTCAAAGTCCCAACACCGTCCGGCCCAAGTTGCTTCTTTTTCAGCCCACCGCCAGCAACCACCACGCCCGACCAATAACATGTTCTTACAAATGCTGGCAAGGACAAAAAAAAGTTCGCAGACCGCACAAAGCCTCGCCCAAAGGTATCCACAGTCGACGCACCGAGGAAGAACAAAAGTGATTTTAGAAATGACCTCAGGACAAGCCCTTGCCCAGCCCCCTCCCCGGGGGCGGCGCAGGCGGGCACCGACCCCTCTCGCCCCTTCGCCCCCCGCGCGGCCGCACCGCGCGCTGGGACCGCCGCGCGCAGCACCGAGGGCAGCGCCGGCTCGTGTGCCCGGGGCGCGCGCCCGCCGCCTTCCGAGGCGCCCCCGCCCCGCCCAGGCACCGGGGGAGGCAGCAGGGAGGGAGGGGAATCGAAGGGAGACCAGACGACCCCGCTGCCTCCCGAGGCCGCAGAGAGAGAGGCGGCGGCGGCGGCGGCAGAGAAGGGGCGGGCAGGAAAGGGCGGACCCGCATCCGGGCTCGCTCCCTGACGCGCTCACTCACCGATCATGGCGGCGGGGGTGGAGAAGGGGGGCGCGTGCACGCGCGCGCACGTGCCGGCCACACCCTCCAGCTCGAGCGCTTCCCCGGCAGCCGCCTGGAGGAGTCGCGAGACTGCGGGCGGGGCATGACGGCGCGGAACGCGCATGCACCTCCATGAAGCACACGCAACGCCCTCTGGGTAACGTAGTTCTTCGCCACTTCACGCCCGCCCCTCCTCTGCCCACGTGATCGCCTCTCCCCCACACCCTCCAGCCCCCACCTTCGCTAATGACTTTCTCGCTAATTGCCGTCTGTCGCCCCGGTGTTCAGCGCACCGGGGGCGGGTACAGACGTGCGGAGCCGGGCGGTGCTGCCGGGGCTCTCTCTACGCGCTCCCCTCGCGCTGCCCCGGCGGGTTGTTGACGCGTTGCCTGGCAACGGTCGCGTGTCCGGGGGACGGCCCGCGGCGGCCGGTGCCCAACGGACCCCCTGAGGGAGGGACGGCAGGGCCGCAGCCGGCGGGGGCACAGCGGCGGGCGGGGGGAGAAGCCCCCGGGGGACAAGAACAGCAGGTGGTGATGAAGGGCTGGACACGCTGGAGTAGGGGGGGACGAGCTGCGATGGCGCAGAAGGGGTCCTGGAGGGGGCGAGGAAGGCGCGGGAGGGGTGTGTGGGGGTATCACTGGCCCTGGGGAGAGCGGAGCTAGGGCTGCTGCCGCCTTCTAACTCTCTGGGCACGGGGCGCTGATGTTCCCTTGGTTTTTTCCAGTCCGCATTTCTCCTCTGGTCCGTCGCGGGCGCCGGTGGGGAGATGGTGGGGGACAAGGCTGGCTCGGGCCCCTCGAAGCCCACAAGTGACAGGTGCCCCCGGCAGCGGGAGAAGAAGAAAAAGGAGGAGGCCTGCGAGGGATTCACTATCAGAGCCATGATGAAAAACAGCGTGGTACGTTTGCTTCTAGCATAGAGGTGACATTAGCAAGCTTACCTTAACGGGACCAAGAAGCACAGCAAGTTAGAGCTGAGCAAAAAGCGTGTCAGGAAGGTGTGCAAGTTATAGTAATACGTTGCCTGGATAATGCTGGTTGCTGAAATTACCTTCAGGATTTACAGAATTAATTACACAAGATAACTCTGCACCTGTGGTAATTGTGATGCTTCGACTACCAAATGCATTGCTTTGGTGCCATCCTGTTAAACTGCTAGCCTATGGACTTGTGTGCAAGACTTGCTGCCTTGCATTTAGCAAAATGCTGTCAAGTGGGACTGCAGTAATACTCAAAAGTGTTTCCATACACTGATACAACGTGGTAAAAATTTGATGTGAATGTCACATAGGATGGCAAAGATCCGGAAAATACACTAGTTTTTAAAATAGGCTTGAAAAATGATAAAAAACTTCCAGTCAGTCAGTCTAATACATTAGTTCTCCAACACATAGTTCAAAGACAAAGAGGAGGTGATCCAGTGAGCTTCATTTTAAATTAACAGTTACAATTCCTAACATATTTAGAGGTTTATGAGTTAAAATATTAATATAAAATTGCTTTACAGGGTTTTCTCTACCTTTGTTAGAATTTAGGAATAAAAAAACCTTTAACTAATACAGAATGCAGATGTTCAGCATGTAAGCAGATGAGGTAATATGCACATACATCTGTGCTTAAACTCTTGAATTGTATTTTTCTTTATTTGGACACTGTTCAAGGTGTTAGCAAAGTCTAGAGTTCTCAAGGATTTTTTTGGAATCTATACACTATTTCTACAGCAATTATAAAGCATTATTTCCCTTTTGCTGAAGTGGTCTTGGAGTAGTCTCTCTGGTCTTGCAATCTGTAAGAGCATCCTCTTAGAAACCCAAACAAGTCCATCTTTAAACAAATTTTAAGTAAACAATGTGTACTTAGAGAACTTTCTCCTCACTAGTAAAACAAAAATATGTTTCACTTTAGTTGGAAAAACACAAGGCAAACACAACCAAAAAACCCCTTTGTTTTAAAGATTGTTTGTTTTTTATTCTAGAGGTTAATGAAATAGACCATAATATTTCGGCAACTTTAAGGATTGATTTTTAAAAGATGTTTCCTCTTCTCTGAACAAAATTTAAGTAATGGATATTTGCACATATTTGTTTTCACCTTGATATGTAAAAGACACTTAATTTTGTCTAGAAGAATCAGAAGTTTCGATGGAGTTGGAGAAATATATATTTAATTTTTTAAAAGGATCTGTGACTTGTGAACATAACTAGCTATGAGTTTAATCAGAGTGTAGGTTTCCTTTTGAATATTTATAGAGTATTAACTTTTATGGCTGCATTTCTAACTTCCTAAACATGAGCAGAAGGTTAAATCATGGGTAAATCTGCTGCCTTTGGAACTACTTGTTGAATCATAGAAGTTACTTTCTTTGTCAAGGACCTCTGTAGATCATCTAACCCAACTTCCCATTTGAAGTGGCCTGTCACTAGCACTAGATCAGGTCAGTCATGGGTTTCCTCACTAAGCTGTGAAATCTACCAACTTCACAGATTCCTTGACCTCTCCGGGCAACCTCTGCCTTGCCCACCTGTCCTCCCCGCCGGCCCCCTTGACCCTGTCAGAGGGCAGGTTTACAGTGTTCTGACCTGCTGCACAGGCTCTACTCATAACTGGATAGGAAGCAGTAAAACTGTTAGCCCTAGCACTACAAATCTCCCAGGACCACTGTGTTTTGCAAAAGCTCCAAGTGAGGACAGGCAGCCACTGGAATAATTTTCAGTCAATGTACAAAATACCAGTGTAGAGTAAGGAGTATCTATTTCACTGCCACTCTCTGCGCAAAAGTCTGTGTCCTTCATCTCTTTTCCAACAACTGGTTAAATGGAGCTTCAGATTTATTAAGTACTCACATGTCAGAGGTTGACATCATTGATTAAGTTCTCATGGAAGGTTTAGGAGTTGACTGGAGGGTTGAAAGCACAGCAGGAAAATATAGTTAGGACATGGTAATTCCTTTTGTTAGCAGCATGACAAGGCATAGGGTTCTCAGCAAACGTGTTTGGCATCTCCAGATCAAACAATGAGGTACTGATTAATAGTTTTTGGTGCAAGCATGTAGTTAGTCTTAAACTCTTAGTGTGGAGTCTTAAGAGATTACAATTATATGTATATGACTATAAATGTTGTAGTAGAGGTTCCAGAATTCTTTGATGTTGCTTGTGCACAGCGTTCTATTAAGCTGTTTTTCATGAAAGTTCCTGCTTTCACAGCCATTAGTAAGTGCAGAAATTAAGCACTTCCAATACTAAAGACTTGTCTCAGCTCCCACTTAATCTAAAATTTGCTTATTGAAATACAGTACTTAATAAATATTCACCAAAAAAAATTCCTGAAGAAAGTCTTTAAGTTATTAAAAAAATATAAATTTATATAGTGGTTTAGGTTAAGAGCAAGATTCAATAAAGGTCCTCTACAGTAACAAGATTCAATAAAGATCTTCTACTAACAAGCTAGATATTGTGACGTTTACATTTTAATTGTTCTATCCTCCAAGTAGATCTAAGAATGCCAAGTTATGTACTGATAGTTCACAGGTACTGCATGTAGAATTAAGAATAAAATTAATTAAAAATTAATATGTATAGACTAGCAAGGAGAAAAATGTCTGAACGTGAATGTGGGCAGCAGGGAGACATTTCTCTTCCCTTCTGATCCTCTCTAGATGATATTTTTCCTGTTTTTTGCAACTGTACATAAGAGAATAAAGTATTAGTGTCCACATTTTCAGTAATGCACTGGTGATAAAAGCCCTTTTTCAAGGACAGGATTCATTCTATTACTCAAAGAAAACTGTAGAAAAGGAATTCCAGTCTATCTTCCACTTTTTAAAAGGTTCTTAACCAAGAATTTATAAGATTACTGAGATGGAAAAGATCACAGAGGAAAAATCTACATGTCTTTTCAAAGTGCTGTTACCGTGCAGCAGAGAGTTAGGATTCATAGGGCTAGAAAGTGGCAATGTAGGAAACTCACTAGACGATATATTTTAGTGCATATATAATTCATGCAGGAGTTTTGAAAGCTTTGTTCTTTGGTATTTTATGTCCATCGTTGCTTGCTAGAATGGACCTGATGATATGGAGTGGAATTGGAACTTAAGACATCCCTCCTGAGTGCTGAGCCCACAGCCCATAAAGCTATGAAAGATTGTTCTTTCTTTTTTTCTTTCCTTTTTTTTTTTTTACTTTGTTTTCTTTTTTACCTGAACCTTGAATTCCTTACTGCAAAACAGCACAGCTTCAACAGGAAAGATGGAGCACCTCTACAGGTCCTCCGTTAATAACAGTTTTACCATTTAAGTTGAAGTATCCTTCTGTAGCATGTGAATTTAAATTCCTCTGGTGAGAGTACTGAGTTGGATTTTCTTCCTATCTCAGAGTATAAACCAGCAGATTTTATATAAAAAATATTACTATTACATTCATCTGCGTTCCGTGAAATCAGTCAGAAACTACCACTAGAAATATGCCACAGGGATAGAGTGAAATTGTCTACTTAGAAAGGAAGTAATGCTAAGAATTGTTTATGTATTTTTAAAACCAAAGCAACTGTTTAACCTGTGAGAGCCTTAGCTATGTGCAGAAGCCCAGCTTTCATCTCCTGAAAGAAGTATTACTGCTCATAAGCAGAAAAATGATTATTTGGATTGTTCTTCTGGATTTTCATTCTTCTGTTCCTCATCTAAGAGTCTATGGTCTGTATGTATTGGGATTAGTTCTTAGTCTTTGTTGTTTAAACCCCTCTTTCATGCCATAGTCAGTAATGTGTGTTGTGAAAGGCTTTTTTACACTTTATCGTTTGATAATAACTCATAGCAAGAGTTTAATTTTTTTACCATAGAGATAATCTGATTTGTTTACATTCTGAATCTTTTAATTTGACACTCTATTTATATTCATCCACACATGTAACTGAAACTGCTTTTATTATTTACCTTGTAGCAGTAAAAGTTTCTAATCTGATTTTGAGGCTATAGGAAACAATTGTTTATAAGAAAGAAGTTGTATCCTTGAGTTATAATAGCTAATTTATTGGAAAGGGCAGTGTGTTTGGCATAAGTAGATGTCAAGTTAAAGGAACGTTTTGATAAATGTTTATATAGAAGGTAGCCCGTCCATCTTGGAGGAACTGTTCCGGTGTAACAATAGCAATTGTGTAAAATCTACAAGTATACTTCAGTGAACACTGTGAGACAATTTAAACTGTCAGTGCTCTGGAAAGCAGTTCTATCTTCTTCCTCTTTCAGGCTGTTTAGTGCTGCTGCTCCTTATTGTGTCTACATTTGTACAATGTTGGCCGATCAAGGAACTGATCCTGCTGAAAAATACTCCAGCCTCTTGAAGCTAACAGCACTGAACTGCAGTCTTTGGGATTTAGCCAAGCAAAGCTTCTGCTTCCACGAAGCTCATCTGTTTTGCCCTTCTCTGTCCTGACTGCATGCTTCCATCTCCCCTTTTCCATGGCATTGTTTTTTCTTCAAATGCAGAGAAGGTTGGCTCAGCTCTAACAGCTCTGAAGTTAATATATGCAAGCAGAAGGGAAGCGGGAAGATGTTGTCAGCGCAAGTTGCGTGGGTGGGAATGTACCTTGGCAACATCGTGGCCTTAATTCATTTAAAACCAATTATTAAATTGAGTTCTAGCAGAGTAATTCCACAAGCATTTAAAGCAGCATAAAATTGTACCACAATTGAAAGGTGTGGTTTTCATCCCTGGACATTTATTCTTTGTGCAGTATGAGCTTTTGCATGGCCTTGCAGTGTATTAGGCTGGAGCCCTGGATAAACCTAATTAAAAGAAGCTCAGCATCTTTTTTTTTTCCATCGCAGTACAGACCTGACATACAGTTTGGTAACAGTGTAAGCTCACAAAAGTTGCTGCTACAGCCCTGCTTGCTTCTGCTCTGT